GTTTACTTATTTATGCATTAAATAAGTGATTTAGCGATTAATTATATTAATTTTATTTATGGTTAGTAAAATTAATTTTTCTTTAAATTTAATTATTTGTTACTTTAATTAAATTGGGGTGTTAATTAACTTATGTATATCTTAAATTAGATGTTAAATAAATTATTTAAATTTTTTAAAAAATATTAAGTTTTTTTTAGTTTAATTAATTTGGAAGTTAAATAAGTTTTTTACTTTTTAAAATAAGTAAATAGTTGTTAATCAAATTAGTTATATTTTGATAAAAAAAAATTTAATTATGTGTTAGTTTAAACAATTGGTAGTTAATTAATTTTTTTAGTTATTAAAATAAATAAATTAATATTTTTATTAAATTAATTAAATTTAGTTTAAAAATAACATTTATGTGTTATTTTAATTAATTTATTTGTTAATTAAGTGTTTAATTTGATAAAATAAACAAATTATTTATTAATTAAATTAATTTTATTTAGTTTAAAATCATCAATTACGTGTTAGTTTAATCAATTTAGTAGTTAATTAAGATTTTAGTTTGTTAAAATAATTAAATTAGTTGTCAATTAAATTAAGTTTAAAATCTTCAAATATGTTTTACTTTAATTAATTTAGTTGTCAATTAAGTTATTAATTTTTTAAAACAATTAAATTAGTTTTTCTTAAAATAATTAAATTTAGTTTAAAATCTATAGTTACGTGTTAGTTTAATTAATATAGTAGTTAATTAAGTTTTTTATTTGTTAAAATAAGTTTATTAGCTGTTAATTAAATTAATTAAATTTAGTATAAAATTAAAAATTATGTTTAAGGTTAATTAATTTAGTATTTAATTAAATTTTTTTATTTCTTAAAATTTGTAAATTAGTTTTTAATTAAATTAATTACATTAAGTTTAAAATTAAAAAATACGTGTTATTATAATTAATTTAGTAGTTAATTATGTTTTTTATTTGTTAAAATAAGTTAATTATTAGTTAATTAAATTAACTAAATTAAGTATAAAATTAATAATTACATTTTAGTTTAATTAATTAAGTTTTTAATTAAGTTTTTTATTTGTTAAATTATGTAAATTAGTCTGTTTATGAAATTAATTTAATTTAATTTAAAATGAATTTGGATCGTTCATAGATTGGCTATAGATTAACCGAATCGTCTTTTTAATCAATGTTTTGTAGATGAGATTAATGAATTTATTAATTGTATCATTAGTCATCCGGAGTGTATGGATGAAAATAAGATAAGATATCCTTATAAACTTAAAAAAATTTCAAAACCACGATTATAAATATCCCGATATAGTTAAATACCATTTGATGAGATATGGTTTTGTGTCTTGGTATGATGTGTGAACATGTCATGGAGAAAATGAGTCGGTCATTTATGGTGATAACTCGATACATTTTGTTCAACCTAAACAAATATTTGTGAACCTCTAGCCAATTCATATCACACAATGGTGATGGATGTAATCGATCCATCATTTAATCCATTTAATATTGACGAAATTCCAAACCCCGATACATAGGCATTTTATGATTAGTTGAATGTATCTAATAGTGAGATCTAGCCTGGTCTAAAAAATCATTCGAGTTATCCATAATGGTACATTTGTTACACCTCAAGTCTAAACATTATTTTTCAAAAAATTGTTACGATGACTTATGTCAACTTATGAAAGAGTTGATGTCCGTTGATAACTGCATGTGAAAAGACTTTTGCAATATGAAAAAATTGGTAGAATTGAATGGTTTACCCGTCAAAACATCCATAGCTCTATAAATTGTTACACGATTTATTATAGGTGAAGATAGTGAGAGAATTACTTGAAACATCCGTGACTATCCTTGATATCGAAGTTCTATGCAAGGATCGATTAGAGAAACATATGATCCATATAAAAAATGTACTATTTTTTCCTAACCCCATCGTTGCGGAAGATATATGCTTCGATTGCCACAACTAGTGACATGATATGGCATGTCGAACATGAAGTTGAGGCAAACATCATGCGTCATTGCTCTAACTCTTGGTGGCATTTTGATCTAACACATCCTTCTTTTGTATCAAAAATTAGGAATGTCGGATTGAGAGGCTAAAATGATGGATTTCAACCTTTTGGTCGATCGGGGTAACAATATTCTTTATGGCTTTCATTGTATTATCTTACAATTTTCCATATGGAAGTATATGAAGGAAAAATATATATTCTTAACTTTAATTATCCCGGGACCTAAAAACCCAAAAATCAACCTAGACATGTACTTATAATCCTTCATTAAAGAATTGGCTGAATTGTGGAAAGTTGGTGTGCTTACCTATAATGTGTCTCATAAGTAGAATTTTCATATGTGAGTTGTAGATAGTTAGCAACTTTTCTGCATATTCAATGTTGTTAGGTTAGAGTACTCGCGAATAAAACAGACTTGCTCGTATTACATGAAAAAATATAATGCTTTTAGTCTCCGTAATGGTAGAAAGACATTTTAGTTTGACTGTCACCATAAATTTCTACCACAAAGTCATCCTTTTAGGAGAAAAAAATACGGTTGTCATAGACATTTCTCCCTTAGTCATGTCTAGAACAAAAATTTTGCATAAAATACAAAATTAGAGGTTGTTGAAAATAATGGAAGAGGGCTCTAAAGAGTGTAACAATAGTATGTCTAGAGTTTGCAATTAGAAGAAACAAAGTATACTCTAAGATCTTTCTTATTGGAGTTTCAATTTAATTCGAGCACAATTTGAATATGACTTACATTAAAGAAAATGTCTTCAACAATGTGGTTAACATAGTCATAAGTGTGCTAGAAAAAACAAGAGACAATGCAAACTTTAGAGAAGACTTGAAACTTTATTATCGGCTATCAAAATTAGAAAGAGATGAAAACTCTAAAAAATACCTTAAAGCATGTTACATTTTTGACAAACAACAAAAAATACAATTATTAGAATGGATTAAACAATTTTGGTTTCTCGACGGATATATATCGAACTTCATTAGGTGTGTCAAGATAAGAACAACCTCAAATTGTATGGCATGAAAAGTCATGATTATTATGTATTTATATAGATGTTAATACCTATCTCATTCTATAGCCTATTATTGAAAAATATTTGGCAAGCACTAACTAAGTTGAGCTTATTCTTTAAGGAATTGATATCTACCGTCATTAAGGTTAAAGATAGGAGCCGTCTAGAGACTAAGATACCTTTAGTTTTATGCAAATTTAAGCGTATATTTTCATCAAGTTTTTTTTTAACTCAATGGAACATCTTCCAGTCCACTTGGTATATAAAGCGAAAATAGCGAGGACCGAGTATAATATTGATAGATTTATCCATTTGAAAGATATATATATATATATATATATATATATATATATATATTGAACCCTTTATTAATTTTATTTTTAAAAATATTTCTTAACTAACATATGTATATAATGCAGGTATCTTCAAAAATTAAAAAATAATGTAAAGAACAAGGCCGAGTTGAAGGCTCAATATGCAATGCATATTTAATTGAAGAAGCATCAACATTCCGTTCATATTACTTCGAGCCTCATGTCTATTCCGGGCATCAAAAGTGTCACATAACTTTGAGTGTGCTTGAGAACCAAGTGACGACATTGAAGGAATGGTTCCTATATTCAAACCGAAAGGTCAATCTCTTGGTCGATCAAAATCACATATGTTGATAGATGAAGAAAAGCTTACATCTCATACCTATATTTTATTGAACTATGGTGAGTCGACACTTTATATAGAGTAAATGCTAAAATTATTAAAATTTTTAATATTGAACTTCATTATTTATCAATTATTTATATTAAATATGATAAACATATTATAAATTTTCTCTTTCCACATATATTTCATTAGCCAACTTTGTCAAAGTGGTCCCAACATATTAAAGCACGAGGTTGATGTTGGGCTTAAAAATAATTTTCCATTATGGTCCCATCGATATATGAGTATCATAAATTTTAAATTTGTTTTATTATTAAGATGGAATTATGAAATTTAATACTAATAACAAGTAATGGATTTGGACTTTACGAGCAAGTAATATACAACCCAACATGACAACAATCACTATCATCATCGATGTACCGAACCACTACTCTTGCCATATAATATGAGCCATCGCATGCGAGAATGTCCCCTACCATGAGACATATCCTACACATTAATACATAAATGAGTTAATAAAACACAACAACTATTAAATATTTATATTAACATAAATAAGTTAAAATACATTTATTTTACGATGAACAAATAATTTTATAATTAAATTAAAATATGTGCGCACGAGAGATGTGTGTGTGTATATGTGTGTGTATGTGTATGTGTGTATTATCTTAACAATTTTTAATGAACTATGGAGGAAAATAAAATTTTACCACTAATCATTATCCCGGTCATCATTATTATAGTTTTCATCTAAGTCTTCTACAACATCCGTTTAAATTCAACATCATTCTCTTCACTAATTTCATGCCCTTCTAAATCTATTAATGATCCAATTGGATAAATTAATGATCGACCCTCATTGTCCTCATATTAGATGACATTGTATTAGGCTTTGATATCGTTTTCTTAAAATTGTTCTATAATTGTTTGGATCGTAACAATAATTGTGGCATATCCACTACCACCATGGGTCTTACCTTACATATAGCTAATCGATCACACCTAATGTGCTTTGATGTAGGATGTATTGCATAATACACCCGATGCCCTTGTATTGTCGGGATAAAAGGATCGGATCCGTTTGATGTCCTATGACTATTTACTTTTGATATAAATTCAAGAGAGAAATTTAAAATAATTAAAGATCTAATTAGTGAAATTAAAGGGCCAAATTGCAATAAATTGAGGGACTTAATTGAAATAAAATTGCAATAAATTGAGGGACTTAATTGAAATAAAATTGAAACATGTGGGAAACAAATAAAAAAAGACTTCCCTCCAACAACCCTTCCTTTGTTCTCTCTTTCCCATGTGTGAGGGATTGTTTCCTCAGCTTAAAATCTAAACTTTTATAACTATAAAAGTCAAAAAACTTGCCCACCAAGCACTCTACTATCCCTTGCTTCCCATCAACATTAAAGGACCTTAAGTCTAGCCTCTCTTGCCCATGATTTTTGCTACCAAAGTGGTCTGTCTTGGCCTCTCCTATAACAACTTAATAGAAGAGGATTTTTGGAGATTTTAATGAAAGGGCCACGATCTATAAATGGAGAATGAATAGTTGGGATAAAAAAAAAAAGAGGTCTTTACAAGAGAAGGAGGAGAAAATGAAGAAAGGGAAGAATAAGGAGACAAAAAGCTTGATAATACGAGAGAGAAGTTTTGGAGAGAAATATAAAAGAAAGAAGCATGAGAAAAAGGAAAAGAAGCTAAAAAGTAAGATTTTGAAGTGTAAAGATTAGTTTTAAAGTAGAATGGAGTGAAAAAAACGATGGAAAAGGGGAGAAAAATCATTTTAAAGTGGACCACTCGCAAACTTGTTATTATCAACCCCTCAACTTTTTGATTTTTTTTTAGCTTCAATAGGTACCTTTTTAAACTCTTTTTTTTGTACTCTATATATCCATATTTGATTTGTGAAAATTTCATGCCATTTACTTTTTGTTTTAAGCTTCAAAGTTTAGTCCAAAGTAGGTCTGTCGGTCATAAAAAAACATAGAAAAAAAAGCTATCGATTTTAGTTTGAATTAGAGATTTTCTAGATTGATTTTCTTATGTTTCTCTTAGCCTTTGAAAGAGATTCTCCATTTATGGTTGTAGAGGACCATCCTTTCCACAAATAAAGAGATTTTTTATTTATCGGTGTAGAAGGCCATCCCTTTTGCACCTTATAACCGATTTTGAAGTAAAATTTTTTTAAGAAAATTAGGAGTTAAGCCCAAAGTAGGGATGCTGGCAATACAAAAACTTAGAAAAAACTAAGTTTGTTTCGGTTTGAAGTAAGGATATTACAAGTTGATTTTCTTCTATTTCTAATAGCTTTTAAGAGCGATTCTTTATCTAAGGGTATAAAAGAACATCCCTTCTACACCCTAGAACCATTTTAAGAATATAAAGTATCTAGAAAACTTGGAAGAGAGACCTAAAGTGAGACATCCGAAAGTTTGTGAAGACTTGGCCAAATGTTGTATTTTTTGAGGGGTTATTTTTGTTTTCCATCAATTCAGCTCAAATTTTGATTTTAGTTTTGGCTAAAATTTTCATATGTTCTATATCTATATGCTTTTGATCTATTTTTTAAATTTCATAATTTTAATTAGTCATTTGGTATTTTTGGGGGGGGGGGGGCTATTTTTGTTTTCCATCAATTCGAGCTCAAATTTTGATTTTAGTTTTGGCTTAAATTTTCATATGTTATATATCTATATGCTTTTAATCTATTTTTTAAATTTCATAATTTTAAGAATTTTTTTGGTATTTTATCTGAGTTTATTTAAATTGCTTTCATAAATATTATATTTTCATGGGCTATTTTAGCATTCCATCTTTTTAGCTCGGATTTTTAATTTATTTTTAGATGAAATTTTTGTGTGTTCAACATACATTTTCTTTTGATATTTTTTCAAATTTCATAATTTAGGAGTTCATTTGGCATTTATTTCCATCTTTTTCATATTTTGCAATATATATATATATATATATATATATATGTGTGTGTGTGTGTGTGTGTGTGTGTGTGTGTGTGTGTGTGTGTTGATGAGTTTTTGTAAAATATTTGGTGAATTTGGATTTCATTTAGTATTTATTTTGATATTTTCTTTTATATCATACTTATAGTTATTTTACATATTAACTATTGAATTGAGGTTTATATTGGTAGATGTGAGATTATCAAACCTCCTAAGCTTTAAAGACCGATGACGATCCCATATCAATTTTGCTTTGTAATTAAGAAAATAATATCCCATTTTTAATTTAAATAGGAGTGTTAGGTCGAGCCAACGAGTCTCTTTTTGTTTTTTTGTTTTTTTGGATTGACATTAGTCTTGACATCATACCCAAAAAAAGAAAAAAGAAAAAAAAATGAATTAGTTATGATGGATACAAGTCGGTTCTCTCATTTGCATCCAAATTAAATATATTTATTTACTAGATCGTTCCTCAACATGCCAATCATGATAGAATATAATTGAATTTGATGCTAACTTGATAAGACTCTCAATTTTGGGATGCAATATTAATTGAATACGATTCCATTAAAAAAAAAAAAAACTCAATTTTGACCTAGATGATAAACAAGCTTAGAAGTAGACTTAGAAAATAATTTGACAAATGTAACTTTTAGGAGATAAATTTTAGAATTAACCTAAATCCAGCATCTTTTCCTAAAAAAATTATCTTTGGGCGATTGTTATCTTTTCAAATACATAACCAATTCTTTATCTAAGATCTCTAAATCCATTTTTTTATAGTTTTTCTTGCTCTTTTTAATACTAGATGGCAACTTGAAAACTTTTTAATTCTTTCTATCTTAGAAATTTGGATGTCCCGATGTCCACGAGCGACAATAATCACCATCAAGATAATCATTATAGATTTGAGGTTGGTTTAAATTCACAAGGAAATCATAATTTTCAAATGCACTAAGCTCAAAAAGACCTTCAAATTTTAGAGATTGATTCTAATCCACAAAGGAACTAGAATCATAAAATTTTTAGCTTCAAGGTTTTTTGTTTTTTATTTTTCTTCTCTAGTTTCCTTTATAGGTTTGGTGTTTAAGGGATGGAAGGGTTTGTTCCCTTGGACCTTAGCCACCTACCTCTCCCTTATTCTCTCCAACTCTTCGGTCTTTGCTACAAACATGCATCATGCTCCAACTCTTAAATTCTTTGCTGTAAACACACATTCTACCCTCAAGTCTTTGTTGTAAACATGCCCTATCACATTGCAAGTTTATCATGGACATTCAGTTTGGTTTTTCCTTGGAAGTATCTTCATAAATGTTGTCAAAAACCCACAAAGAAAGCACAACCTAAGCTCGATATCAAGTTGATACTAGATTTATGAGAACAAAAAATCAATCTATAGTTAAACCTTAAAAACCATATTTTGTTCAATAAAAGCCGTAGTTTGAGTTGATGTTTGTAAGGTTAAAAACCCTACTACAACTAAAGCATACAATCAACAAAAGTAATCTTAACTTTAGTTGATTTTGACTAGATTTAGAATTCTACTACAACCTTAACTAATAATGATCAGTAGCACCACTTTCGAAGATCAATCCAAGAATATAGAAAACACATAATCTTAAGATAAGCACAAGGGTTTGTTCTTATATATGCCTAAGTTTTGACTAATCCTAAAGAACATGGACAAGTTTTCCAATTTAGAAAAAGAATTAAAAGAACTTTACGAATCCTAATAGAATACTATTAGAATAACTCCTAACATGAAAATGACTATAAAGAGGAAAAAAAGTCAAAAAATAATGCCTACTAAGTACTAACAAAGCATCATAATAATAATAATAATAATAATAATAATAATAGCAAAACTTGAAATAAGAAAACTCCAAAATCGCTTATAACATTTAGTTGGTTAGCTACATCTAAACTGTTCTCACTTAAGAAACCAATTACCTAATTTAAGCAATCAAAATCATAGTTACTCGTTGGCACTCAAATTTTTTCCCCATTATTTTTATTTTTATTTTTATTTTTATTTTTTGCAAAAATACCAAAAAAGATAAAAATAAAAAAAATGCTAAAAAATAAAAAGAAAAGGAAAAAAAATCAATAAGAATGATTAGCTTACTTTAGTTTTAGGAGGAGGCTAATTGAAAAAAAAAAAAAAAAAAAAAAAAAAAAAACAACAACAACAACAACAACAACAAGAAAGTTTGGAAATTAAAAAAAAATTGAGGATCCAATAAAAAAAAATCAAAATTTATATCCTTTAATTAAAAAAAAGAGGGGGCACAATTGGAAGAAATAAAAAAAGTCTTAATTAATTGAGATTTAATGACCTCATCGAAACAAACAATTAAAATCGAACTTCAATCAATGGATTGTGGAGAATTAGGGACTAAAAAAAATTCCAAAAAACCTAAAAAATACCTATAAAAGCCTTGCATTTTTTTGATATATTTAACTATTAATTATCTCCTTCTTACATCCAAGTCACCTATCCCTCGACTTCAACTTAAACCTCCATCACTCACAACTCCATCTCCCTCTTTAGCCTCTCTAACCTTCAACCAATAAGCTCCCCTTTCCCTCATTGCTTCATAAAAACTCTCTCGCCTATAGCTCTCCCTTTGCACTAGCCACCGCTCCATTTTCTCCCTCATGAAGCAACTCGCTCCTATAGCACTCATAAAACCTAAACTCTAGCTTCTCCTCCACATAGCGGCCAATCATTGTTTAGTAGGCCACGCTATAGCAAGCAACAAGACACACACTAAGCGTTCAGCATAACGCATAGGTTACTTCGAGCAAGCCATGCTTAGCGTGCACATCTACTCGCTAACTAACCCTCAAGTAGTAACCCTTTGCTTGCTAAACCGATTCCTCTACCATAGCACCTCGATTAGCCAACTCCCCACTCGGTCCAAAGCAAGACCGCATTTGGCCACCTCCTTGCTCCAACCTAAAGTAGTCTTGCATCCGACCACCTCTTTGCTCCAACCTAAAGTAGCCCCGCGACCAACTACCTCCCGACCACGACCTTCATGCTCTTCCTTATATATAGTTGTAATAATAAAAAATGGGATCGAGTAGCCATACTTCCTCCTCCTCTCACTTTCAATAGCCACCATCCCAACATTTGGAAAATATAAAAAATTCATAAATCCCGAAAATAAAAAATGGAAGTTGACGACTTGCTTGGTTTCCAAGCCATCACCAACATTCCTTTTTATAAACTCTACTACTTCCTAATACTCTCACCATTACATTATAAAATCCCAAATAAATAAAAAAATTCACATGCACATTATCCTTTATCATCAACTCGTTATACTATACACTTTCTCTACTTTAACCATAGCACTACTTCTCTCTACCACTTGCATCTCTAAATCCTTAATACAAATTACCTCTAACACTCATTTTAAATCATCTCCTTTTTTTTTAGCCACCAAACCTTAATCACAAAAGAACCAACTAAAAGAGATAAATCTCTCTTTTACATGTATTAGTGCCTCTCGTATCACCATCTATGCAAAAAGAAGAAGAAAAAGATGAAGAAGAGGGTGAAATTGTTTTTGGTGGGGTAGATCCTAAGCATTACAAGGGTGAGCACACATATGTCCTTGTGACACGAAAAGGATATTAGAAGTTTGATATGGGCAATGTCTTGATTAATGGACAAATAATTAGATTTTGTGCCAATGGTTATGTAGTAATTATTGACTCGAAACCTTTTTGTTAGCCGATCCTACGACTATTATTATTGAAGTAAATAATGCCATTCGAGCCACAGGAGTTGTTAGTTAAGAGTGCAAGGTCGTTGTTGCCGAATATAAAGAAACCATAATTGATTTGCTTTTAGCAAAAGACCGACCATAAAAAAATTACTCATAAATTGGTTCGGGCACATTTGATGAGACTCAAGGTATAAGTATTGACATTGAAAGTGTTGTGACCGAGAATGCTCAAAAGGCATCCGATGGTTTTCATGATGCAATTTGCCTTACTTGTTAGGTTGCTCGTTACATGGATGTAGAAACAACTTAAGTAGAATCAAATGCAAGATCACATACTTAACTATGTCAATGAGCTATATGAATGGTTGCCTAGTCTTATAGAAGAATTAGGATTTTTGACATTAGCCTTGAGTAGGAAAAATACAACGACGAACTTTGTTGCTAATTTTGTACGATTATAACAACTTTATAAGTTTACAATAACTTTGATAACAATGGTAATCTCGACAATTTGCATGGATTTTAGAGAGGTTTTTGATCATTTTAATGGGATCCATATCACATTTTATCAATAAGCGATTGCTTCCTTTTCTCGACTAACTAAAGAATCAGCTTTCATTTGGGAACAAAGAAAGTAAAACCGACTTCAAATCGAACCTCCGAGCTATAGTAACCTTTGAGTAAAAATTCCAAAACCAACATGCTCTTTAAAAATGAGGATTAAAAATGACTGGGCCATTTTAAAATATGGATGAAACTATTGCATTTTTTTTAAATATTCACGGTTTAAATAGGATTGAAGTAAACATTATTGTAATGGCTATTAAAGGAAAAACTACGAGTGTTTTACACTCGCATGTATAAATGTGAAGTTTGTGTGCTTATTTATATGGTTGATTGATTAACTACGTTGATTACAATGTTGAAGTGAAGTCACCAATGGCTTCCCATTTATGTGATGAAACTACTTATGGTTTTGGAATCATTTTGTTTGTTTCCTATACCTATTCCCTATTTCTTATTTCATTTTCATGTTTCATGTTTCGTTTTACCTAATTTTGAATTATGAAAATGAAACCACTAAGTGGTTTTTCACTTATATAATTTTTATTTAATGTTTATTTGTTTTTTTTAAAAAAGTCTGCTAGTGGCTTCTCACTTATGTGATAAAAGTCATAGTAGTTTTGAAGCAATTTTTATTTATTATTTTCATGTTTGAAAGAAGCCATCAATGGCTTTCTAATTATGTGACGAAGTCGCTAGTGGTTTGAAAATATTTTTTTTTTTAATGTCTACTTTTTTTAAATGAAACCACTAATGGCTTTTAAAATTGGTATCTACTCCTTGCTCTAAATAAAGTGATCGGTAACTTCCCACTTCGTGATGAAGTTATCGATAGCTTCGAAATTCATGATTCAAAATTGTCAATAGCTTCTCACTTGTGTGAGTGAAATTGTTGATGACTCACTCGCTCATGCCAATAAAAGGCTAACCATCTTTAGAAACTCATCTACTTATCAATAATAGGTTACGCTCACTAATGACTAGTTGCAATTCCAAATTCCCTCACTTTTTACCTTTGGATAACGAGTATTGGCCTTAGATCGATCGAAAACCTCAAACTATCCTATTTTATATCCAAAACTTTAAACTATCTAGTTTTATATTTTTACAAAATAAACTCATTTAAATAGGTATAAAAGTGTAACATAGTAAAAAATTAGATTTTTATGATCATATGCAAACAATGCAACCTACCTTAAGTAGGATGAGATGGCGATGATATTATATCTTTCTCAAACGTAACCAACTATTTACTTAGATATCTATATAGACTAGTATGTTTAAGGTTTCTTAGTTCTCTTCGATTATCTAGGTGGCAACTTCATGTCAAGACCCCTCGTGGGGGTCGACATCGTTAGATTGGTGACTCCAATAGGAAAAATGACATTCTATTTGAATATCTATGTTTTGAATCTCTAGTCATTTTTTATGCGTCTATGCCTATTTGTTTTAAGTGAGTATTGCCATTTATATGCTAGTCTTTTTTTGTAGTGAAAATGCATCTATATATATGTCTATTGTTTGTGTTAGTCTTCTATATAGCTTTAATTATTTAATTTTTAGATTTTATTCGTATTTTGAACTAGATATAGAGTTATGCCCTACACACCACACAACATAATTTTAAATTTCGTTCATATTTGCCATAGTATGTAGGGAGGAATCACTTGTTCCTTGATAAGCTTCGCCTTGCAAAACACTCATGAAACCTTAACTCTTTTGGAAAGCTACCGATATTGTGATAGGTAATCCATGGTCCCTATGATTACGTCCTTCACACTTGGTCAACCTCAGCTCTCTTGAGACTTATATAGATCCTACCCAATCATGTAATGATTAGAACCGTACATTAGAATCATTTTTTCTATATAAATTCACTAGGCAAGTCAAATGTATTGAAATCTTGATCGAATAATTAGTCACAAATTTTTTTAGATGAGTGATAAAATGATTCAAGTCCAAATTTGTGTAGTATTTAAAATATCAAATAAATTCCATAGGTCGATCAAAATATGCTAAAGGTTATTGAGAAAATTTAAGTTCATCTTTAAACTAACTTAAGTTAGTGCAAAACGATAGAAAAATCAATGACCGAATACTCTTATCACCCCCACATGACGACTACTCCATATCTAGTCGCAAATGTCTTTATTTTATATCAATATGTTATTTTTGTTGTTATTTTTAGTTATTTTCCTATTTATTTGGCGAAAGCATAAGTCATCCTATCAAAATTATTTTTCCCCCAAAAGATTGACAACTCAAGCCAAAACAAGAATGGAAAGCAAAGAAAGAGCTTAACTTGAGAAAAGACATAAGAAGGAGTTAAGCACTTTGGAAGCGAAGTGTCTAGGCTAGCTACTTTACTTGAGAAAAGTCCGTAAACTTGCACATCTACCGAAGAACCTCCTAGTTAGGGAATGGGCCAGTCATTTGGTATCTTCGAGGTGTTCACCGTCATATCGACACCCACTACTCAAGTGGTAATTTCAATGCCACCTTTCTCCACTATCCATTAAGAGGTTATCAACGTTATGAATCTAACTAGTCACATTACACTTGGAGGCATGTATGAGCCAACCCATCTTGAAGTCTCTAGCTCGATTCCATGTTTAACATCCCAAACCCATGACCTAATAAGTTGAGAATATTACAGCTCGTTAGTCGCATTCGAAGTGCACCGAATGTAAGCTAACAAGGCACTATGATCTTATTGTAGCGTATGTAAAAATATTTACATGGTAAAAATCTTTTAATGATGTTCGAGTCCTATTTCTTACTTTAACTTCGCTATAAATTTTTTACGTTTATGTTGCGTTTATTTATCATGATATTTTATTTTAATTTATTTTATTTTACATGGTTGCTAAATTTCTAATCATGTCAATATGTAGTGGATAATTTAAAGTAATTATACTACTACTACGATACTCGTTATTTTATTATTATTAATTCAATTACACACCTTAACTATTAACATACATGACCGATTCTATGTCAACTACTCGTGTAATGGGTCTACCCGAAGCCAAACCCTCATCCAAGCTACATACGTTTGATGCCTCCCTCGGTAGTCAGCTTTGCGCAGAAGTGAGCCATAGTATCTTATTTATCTACACTACAAGGAACCGTATGAGCTACGCCCAATAAGTTAACACATGCATGTAGTGTACGTACGTGTGTAAGTATGCATAAAACACCGATATGCATAATGACTCCTTTTTCCTTATGTCATAAAACATTTCATAAACAATCTGAAAATCTTTTTCTGCCTTTGGACATGTCCCATTTAGGTACTCGGGGTTTCCATCACATATGTATGGCGAACTGCACCCGTCCACGGACGCGTCCTACCGAGCCTCTAAAAGTGCACGTCTACACTTGCC